AAAAACCACGCGGCATAAAAGGGGAGGAAGAGGAACCAACCAATCACTGTAGAGGTCACCCTATCATGCGCCTAAGCTTTCTATACTTTCCCTGCTGTCCACGAGCTGTCCACGCACTGACATCACTTCGCCTGATCGTGGTATCCAATCAGATTTTAACGTAAACAACTCGGGCTCTGCCCACTCAACTTCCTCCCTGCACCATCTTTGCTGCCCATGTGCCCCACAGGGCTGGGGTCTTCAGGGTCCAGATCTGTGCTGGGCAGGGCAGTGTAAGCAAAGCCTCCAGTTGTCTGTAGTTCTAGGATGGCCTTGATTTGTTCCCAGGTGGTATCCTGTGGAGGGCTGTTATCCTGTTGAAGAGAAACTTGACAAAGAAAACACACCCTGGCCACCAGTTAGAAAAGTTCCATTTGGAGCTGGAGCCCAAAGCAGTCAGAAGCTAGGTCTGGATTGGAGTAGGTAAGCGCCTGGTAAGAGGCCTTGATTATTTCCTGTAACTAGCAGGTAACAAAGGTAAGAATGTAAGTTCTAGTCCAGTTAGGAGGTAGACAGGTATGGACATTAGATGGCATTAAATGGGCATTGACTAATTGGATGGTCATTATTTTCTTTTGATCTCCTGATTCTAGTTAATTTGGAAAGGGCAACTCCAGTTAGGATGTGATACAATCCCCTCTATGCCAGGACTAGCATTTGTCCCGGGGGTCTAGGTGCTCATTGCTGGGATGGCTTTTCCCATTTGTTATCTCTTTTGTCAGTCATGGGGTTTGAACTCAAGGCCTGACCACTGTTCCTGAGCACTTCTGTTCAAAGCTAGCACTCTTCCATTTTGAGCCATAGAACCACATCCAACATTTTGCTGGTTATTTAGCCATGCTTCTAGCCTGGCTGGTTAATTGAGGATTTTTCTGAAGGATTCTTCTGCCCTGGCTGGCTTTGAACTACAATCCTCAGATCAAAGGAGTCTTTGCCACCAAAAATCCTTTTTATTTCCAATTAAAGCAACAAGGGGATCAAATAGAAATAGTTATTCTTAATTGCATATAACACTTTAAGATACTAATTGAGGTGAAGACCTTGTAAGCCTTTGTGACTACAACAAAGAATGCCAGAATCATGTCCTTATAGCCCTATATCCAAGGCAGTTTACATGTTAAACAGGGAGAAAAGGCATTTGAGTTAAAAGGTGCTCATTTAGAAGGACCTTGACATAAACAAACACTTCAAGTGAACTTTGGTTTACACAAACAATTACTTTCATAGATGGGACATAAAGAATGAGATGCTAGGGTTGGTTTGTTTGTTTTGTGGGCATGAACCCTGGGCCTAGGCACTGTCCCTGAGCTCTTCAGCTCAAGGCAGGCGCTCTACCACTTGAGCCACAGCGCCACTTCCAGTTTTCTGTTTATGTGGTGCTGAGGAATCGAACCCAGGGCCTCATGCATGTGAGGCAAGCACTCTACCACTGAGCCACCTTCCCAGCCAAGATGCTAGTTTTTAATGTAAATCCCAGCCAACTGTATTACTACTAAGCTCAGGAGGCAGAGTCTAAGTAATTTCTTGCGGCCATCCTGGTGTATCTTGTTGGGGGCAGGAAATTCTCCACTCAGTGCTGAAAGTCTAGAGGTGAGAGAGGCCATTCATTGAATGCAGATGTTAGCTCAAGGTGAGCTTGGAGGGCTCTGCTTCTGCAAAAGGCAGGTGTCACAGCCTTAGGAAAGTTTTCTGATTCTGCATTGATTAACTCCTTAAATGTCCTGAATCACCGACCTCTGAGTAGCCTCTAAGCATACCCTATATGGAAGGTTAAGGCCTATCTTCCCTAGATGGAAAAGTTCTGCAAGTACCTGAGTATGTCCATTTAAGGTCTGGCTTCTTGTCTTCTAAGGGAGAAGGTGAAACCCCCCTCCTCCTCAGGTGATGGGTGTGCCTGGATCCCTGGAGATGGGCCAGGCACTTGACTGATAGGTTACTGGACCTGTCAATCCAATGCCTGGAACTGGGAATTTCCTGTGACCCTGCCCCCTGCCCTGCCCTTATCTATGTAGACCCCAACAAAGTAGGCGCCATTACTCCACACCACTTGTCTCCGTGTTCTCAGCCTGTGTCTTGTCTCTTCTCCAGTCACCGCGGTGTCCTTGTTCAGCTCTGCACTGGAGCTGAATTGGTCTGTTGGTATTGTTTTTGTTCTTTCTTTCCTCTCTGGCCTGTTTCCTAACAGCGTGAAGTATATTTGTGGGCTGCAGGCCTTTGTAACAACTGGCTGCCTGCACACTGCTAGTGCTCTAATAAAGACTCCAAGATTAGACCTCTCCAATGTGGCTTCTCAGATAATTTACCAACTTTACTCATAGATATATTCAGGCCATCTGCTACATCCTTGAACCTTCTGGAGTTTGTCCAAAGCTGTATGGAACACACACACACACACATGTCTGTACAAAACTTTTAAGGCATGCTTAGGTTTTTTTTTTTTTGTTTGTTTTTAACTGAAAATCGGCCATACGTTTTTTGGAATTCCAGTGGCAAAATGGCAGGAGACATTTTTGCCTACTGTTACGATAGAACCACATGGTCAATGCTGGAAAAACAGACCATACAAAACGGAATACAAGGCAAAACGTAAGATTTAGCCAACAACCAACAGACATCAACAGAATCTCTATGCTTAGATGAACATTGATAACAAGAACAGAAAACCTTTAGAATAATTTTGGCAAAAGCTTGGAGGTCACATGAAATCCCATCTTGTGACCTTTATCCCTGACTAGGTAAGTGTCAATCCTCAAGACTTGCAGAGAATTGAGGGAAGGAGGATTTTCTTCAGAGGTGCTAGAGCCACCACGTAGAGGAGTCTTACCTTAAGGGATACATTAAGAAACCAGACTTTCAAGGGAGTAGACTGAGGCAAGAGAAAAGGAATGGGTTTGTGTGCAAGTCTTGAAGGCAAAAATGATGAGTATGCTATCTAACTAGTCCCGTGCTTGGAGCAGACAAGTTTTCACTTAAGAGAATCCAGACCAGCTGCAGAGAGGAGGGATAAAGGATGTGGCAAAGACTTGGGCTTATGGAACCTCTGATTCAGGACAGCTAGCCTTTAAGAGGGAGCCTAGAGGTCTGGAGGTCATCAGTAAGAGAGAGAGAGAGAGGGAGGGAGGGAGAGGAGGGAGGGGGGAGATGGCAATTGCTACAAGGTAAGGAAAGATCCCGTTTCAGAAGAAATAGTTGGAAGGCTTATGGTGAAGGACTTACTGAGCAAGGCAGGCTAGTGGGGGAGGGTGGGCCTCTGGAGTAGAGGTCAGAGGACTTGGTGGACAGAACTGGACGAGCAGACATGATAGTGAGGCCAGAATTCAGTAGACAAACGAGTCCGTTTTCTTTGACTGTCAATCAGTCAGCCCGAGAGTCTCCATATTAGACTGCAGGCAAGCCAATGGGATGTCTCTGGGAGACAATCTGGAAAATTTGGTAGGACTAGAGTCACCTGCCCCCTACCTCTTTGGGCATCCTTGAGGCTTTGGGAAGGCAAATGGATGGATCCCAATAATTAGGAGAGGTCATCCCCCAAAGTCCTAATTAAAGGGTATGTGTGTGTGTCGGGGGCAGGGGGTCAGCAAAGTGTGAGAGACTCCTGGAGTCTCTGGGGACCCCACAGACAAGAAGTGGGGAGTCCTAAAGTCCCCGGGGCTGGGTCAAGAGGCCTCCACCACAAACCGCAGCTGGTTACCTTGTGCTGAACACTTTTAGGTGGAGGGTGGAGTTGGTCAAATGGTGAAGAGCCTTCTGCCTGGAAGAGAGAGAATAGGGGGAGAGATAAGGCCTTTTCTGGGTTTACACAGAGAGCCAATAATACCTCAAGCCATGCTGGACGGCCGACCATGAGGTTGGCTTAAGGAGACCAAGGCCTGGAGGTGATTTCAGGCGGCTGTTTAGCCCAAAGTATGCTGGGAGGGCTCTGCACTCCCAGTGAAGAATGGCAAAGGGACTGGATTTTGGAGTGGGCTTGCATAGAGTTTAACAAGGACACAGAGTATCAAAAATGGGCTATGGTTTCCTGGGGACCCAGGACAGTGTCCTTAGCCAAGCCCAGAGTGGAATGCTCTACCTGGGGTGAGGGGCTAGGGTCTCCTGGGGTCCAAGGGCCATGTGACCTTGACCAGGCCTGGCTTGGAATAACCTGCCTGCGGACAAGCATGTGGTCAAGCCTGTTCATGCGCACCTGGTGTCTTGCTCAACCTGGAGGAATAAGGCAGGAATCATCCCTTTATATTTCCTTTTTAAATACATAAAAAAATTGGGTCAAGAGGGGAGAAGCAAGTCCTTCCTGAGCCACAGTGCCACTTCCAGCCTTTTTCTATGTATGTGGTATACTGAGGAATCGAACCCAGGGCTTCATGCATGCTAGGCAAGCGCTCTGCCACTAAGCCACCTTCCCAGCCCACCGCCCTCCACGTTTTAAAAACCAGAATTCTTGTGCCAAAAAAAAAAGAAGTTTGGCTGCCTCAGTTTCCCCTGCTCTGGTGGTGGTGGTAGTGTGAGGAGGTTGTAGCATGTTGCATGGAGAAGTGGTCTACATTTTCAACTCTAAAGAAGACATTAGCCTGCCTCTCCTCCCTTCCGGTCTCATGTCCTGTGGCTGCCCAGGTAAGCACCGGTGTGGAGGGAATGGCAAAGTGTGTGTGTGTGGGGGGGGGTCTGTGGATAATAGAAACACAGCCCCTGATGCTTTGGCATCCCAGGGTCTGACTCCCCTCCTTTTGGTCCCCGGAGCGGGGGGGGGGTGGGAGATGGGGGGGTATTAGGTGGTGACCAGGATGGAGAGAGGTGGCAGAGGTCACCGGTGGCCTCAAGGCCCAGGTGCAGGCAGTGCCGGGCTCCGCCCAGGCCCTGGGAGGGTGCGGCCTGCGGTGGGGCGGGGCAAGGCGGGGCTGGAGGTGGGGTCCACCTTACCTTGCTGCCCGCCAGCCAGCGGCCGGGCCGCACTGTCCCACACCTGGATGGGCCGGCCACCGCCCCGCAGCCCACCACCGTCACCAATGCTGCTGCTGCTGCTCCCGCTGCTGCTGCTGTTGCTGGGCCCCGGCCTGGGTGAGTGAGCCCTCCCCCCCCCACCCCAGCCCCCTTCCTCAGGTGCTGCCACAGACCCAGGGGCCCTGACCCCCCACCTCTCCCCGGGCTTCCCTGCTCAGCACCCACCCAAGGGATTTATAACCAGCTCTGTCCTGCCCCCTGCACATGCCACCCATTCTCGGGGATCCCCATCACGAACTGGGGAGCCCCAGGGAGGGAGCCCCTCACTCCCACTCCACCCCTGGCCCTGGCTGCTGCCGTGCCCATGTGGATCTGTGGCATCTAAGGCTGGGGAGCAGGACACCACCATGGGCTGGGTTTCACTGAGTAACCCCCCATTCTGGGGGTGCACGCCCTCAGCCCCCACCAACCTGGCACATGGGGACACAGAGCTGGTCCCCACCTTACCTGCAAGCAGGTGCATAGATTCAGCCGCAGGCTCCCAGAGACACCCTATGGGGGGGGAGCAGGCGCACCCCGGTGAGACCCCCAGGTTCAACCTCACGGCTGACAGACACTGAAGTGTGCACACACCGACCTGGCTCTCCGAGAGGAGGCCGGCCGCGGGCAGACAGGGCAAACAGACCCCGGCCTGACCTGCCCCTCCTATATTGGCGCAGAGGGAGTGTTTTCTTTGGTTCCAAACCCAGTGCCAGGGACAGGGGGTGTGGCTCAAGAGGCAGAAGTACTTGCTTGCCTAGCACCTCTGAGGCTCCGAGTTCAAAGCCCTGCACTTACTAGTCCAGTACTGGTGGCTCCCGCTTGTCACCCCAGCAACTGGGGGGAGGCTGAGATTTGAAGATCACAGTTTGAAGCCAGCCTGGACAGGAAAGTCCATGAGATTCTTCTCTGTAGTTAACCAGCGAAAAGCTAGAAGTGAAGGTGTGACTCGGGTGGTAAGGGACCGTTCCTGAGAGAAAAGAGAAAACAACCACCACCACCACAACAGAAGGAATTGAAAATGTGAGCTGCTGGTCTGGTCTGAGATGCCGGGGAGTGGTTAGGTCAGGGACAGGAGTAAACTTTGCAGACAGCCCCGGGGGAGGGTGCTGGGGGATGGGTGCTTGGTGCTTGGTGGATTCAGAGGTTTCTTCTTGGAAACTCACCCAGGGCATCCTGAGCTGCCCGAGTCAGAGATCTGCTCTGAAAGCACCCCCACGCCCCCAGGCTGGAGGGTCACCCTCCAGAAGTGGGCAGGAGGACAGAATGTCCAGGTCCCTGGGCTACCTGGGAGACAAGGCAGACACTGCAGGGAGGTGGTGGGTCCTGAGCAGGGCAGGGGGCAGGGGCAGGGGGCAAGCACTTTCAGCAGGGTCAGCCTGTAATGGGTATGACTGGAAGGGTGGCTGGGTGCTGCTGAGGGCTGGGGGCCTGGCTTCCCTCAGACCTTGTGTGCAATGGGGACTCTTGAGTTTTATTCGGAGCCCATGAAGGTTCGAAGCCGGCATGTTAGTTGCTTGGGAGTGAGAATCAGTCATCCAGACAGGAACGGGGCTAATTTTTTTTTTCCCCTAGTCCTGGGGTTTGACTCAGGACCTGGGCACTGTCCCTGAGCTGCTTTTGCTCAAGGCTAGCACTCTACCCCTTGAGCCACAGCACTACTTCCAGGTTTCTCTGTGTACGTGGTACTGAGGAATTGAACCTGGGGCTTCATGCATGCTAGGCAAGCACTCTACCATTAAGCCACCTTCCCAGCCCGCTAAACTCATTTTTACGTTTTCTTCTTCTTTTACATATTTCTAGTCCTTTGCACCATTATGCTGCTCTTTCTACTAAGAAAATGTGTGCGTGCATGCGTGCGCGCGCACACACACACACACACACACACACACACACACACCTGTGTTCAAATTTGCTCTGGATTCCTTAAAAAAAAAAATCATTGTGGGCCAGGCATGGTGGTGCACCCCTGTAATCACAGAACTCAGGAGACAGAAGCAGGAGGATCTCAAGTTCTAGGCCAGCCTGGACTACACAGTGAGACCCTGTCCCACCATCTCCCACCCTCTAAAAACCCGTAGTGATGAAAGCATGTTCTTTTTGTTGCTGTGGTTGGTTGTGGGGCTTGAACCCAGCGCCTTGGTGCGGTCCCTGAGTTCTTTCACTCAAGGCTAGCACTCTACCACTTTGAACCAGAGCACCACTTCTGGTTTCTGAGTGGTTCATTGAGATAAGAGTCTCACACTTCCCTGCCTAGGCTGGCTTTGAACTGCGATCCTCAGAACTCAGCCCCCTGAGAAGCTAGAATGACAGGCGTGAGCCACTGACGCTGAGCACTATTGCCCTTCTTTAGGACTAGAAAAGTCCTGACCTGCAGCCTCTGACCCTTGTTCCCCACCCAGCATCCGGGAGGTCACACGTGTACCGCCGGGGGATCCTGGAACTGGCGGGAACCGTGAGGTGCACTGGCAACCGACCACCTATCGCCTACGTGAACTACGGCTGCTTTTGTGGCCTGGGAGGACATGGCCAACCCCGAGACGCCATTGACTGGTGCGTGAGTATAGGCTTGCACCGGGCTAGGAGTAGTGAGGGGCCAGGAGGATGGGCCCCACACTGAAGTTGGGGTTTGGTGGGGGGAAGATGCCAGCGCCTCTCATTACAAGGCCCTGGCTGGCTTGCCAGTGAAGACAAATCTTATTTATGGATGTCGCCAGTCCTGGGGCTTGAACCCAGGGCCTGGGCACTGTCCCTGAGCTTCTTCTTGCTCAAGGCTAGCACTCTACCACTTGAGCCACAGTGCCACTTCTGGCTTTTTCTCTGTACGTGGTACTGGGGAATCGAACCCAGGGCTTCATGCATGCTAGGCAAGCGCTCTACCACTGAGCCACCTTCCCAGCCTCTGAAGACAAATCTTGATGCCAGCTGCTTCTCACCCTGGCCAGGCAGGGGCTGATGGCACTGGCTGAAAAGAAAGTGATAGAAAGGTCTGGGAAGGTGGCTTAGTGGTAGAGTGCTTGCCTTGCATGCATGAGGCCCTGAGTTTGATTCCTCAGCACCACATAAGCAGAAAAAGCCAGAAGTGGCGCTGTGGCTCAAGTGGTAGAGTGCTAGCCTTGAGCTGAAGAGCTGAGGGACAGTGCCCAGGCCCAGAGTTCAAGCCCCATGACCCACAAAAAAAAAAGAAAAAGTGATATAAAGATAACCAGACTTCCTATGTGCCCTGGGAACTCCCTGGCCCATTTTTACAACAGGCCTCCTTTCATATATGAAGAAACTGAGGCACAGAGACATCAAATGACTTGTCTGGGGCTGTGCAGAATGTCAGGTGTGGGAGGTGGAACTGGAACCCAGGCTTCTGGCTGGATTGGCACTCTGGGCTCCGCACTCTGCCCACCGGGCAGGAGGAAAGCCACTCTGCACAAAGCCATCCCTTCCCAATGGCTTTTGAGGCTCAGACCCCCTGTGTGGATGAAGCCCCCCCCCCGGCTTGGGTCTGTGGGGTCCAGACACTCACCCACCTCCACACGGCTCAGAGGGCCTGGCCCAGAGTGTTCATGGATACAGAATACACAAATGAATGAACGAGTGACTGAATGAATGAGTGGAGGGACCGATGTGAACAGGAAGTATTTACTGAGCTTTATGGGCTCTGGGCTGACAGTAGGGACAGACCTGCTTTGACAAGAGCGTGTGACAGGAGATTGTCATTACCTGAGGACATAGCAGGTGGCCTAGGAGACATCTTGAGTGGAGGCTGCTGCGGGGGCTGACTGAAGGGACCAGAGTGGGCTTGTGGTTGCTGTAGACACAGGGTACAGAGTGGGCACAGACCCTTTGGGGCAGAGAAGAGGCCAGGGTGGCCAAGTTCAACATGCATAGAGCAAAGCAGGCACACAGGGTAGAGATTGTGCGGGGCACAAAGGGACTCAGACAGGTTCTCTTCCAGAACCCGGTCCATCAGGGATGAAACTGCCTCAAGTGTCCACCAATCACTGTCCACTGGCTCCTAGGAACTCTCCACTCACCTAGCCGGATGGCCAGAGCTGGCTGCAGGTGGCTCACGCCTGTAATCCCAGCTACTCAAGAGGCTGATATCTGTGTGTGTGTGTGGGGGATCACAGTTCAAAGCCAGCCCAGGCAGGAAAGGTGTGTGAGACTCTGATCTCCAATTAACCACCAAAAGCCAGAAGTGGGCTTACAGGGTAGAGCACTAGCTTTGAGCAAAAAAAAAAAAAAAAAAAAAGCTCAGGGTCAGTACCTAGGCCCTGAGTTCAAGCCCCAGGACCGGCCCAAGAGAGAGAGATGGCTTGAGAGACTCCTGCCTTCTCCCAGCAGCCTTTCTGCCCCACCTCTCCCTCCCCAGGTGCTGTCATAAGCATGACTGCTGCTATTCTCGAGCTGAGCAAGCCGGCTGCAGCCCCAAGCTAGGACGCTACTCTTGGGAATGCGTCAACCAGACCATCCAGTGTGGTGAGCATGGAGCGGCCTAACGATGCACTCCTCTTCCCACTCAGCGTGGAACAGCACGCGGGTTTCTCTCATCTGAGCCATTTCTACATCGAACACTTAGAAATACATACACTTCCAATGAAAGTCATTTCTTAAGGTGTCTGTTGGGGCGGGGTTGGGGGATGGAGGAAAAATACAGAAATGATGCCAGATATAAACAATCTAGAAGGCAGCAGGGTTTGGTGGAGCTTGTTTTAATCCCAGGCTACTCAGGAGGCTGAGGTAGGCAGATCAGGCTGTCCAAGGCCAGCCTGGGCAAAAGACTTTATCAAAGCCGCCCCCTCCCTCCCGCCCCCAAAAAACACACCTAAAAGCTTAAGGGCTGGAGGTGTGGCTTAAGTGACAGAGCATCTGCCTAGTAAGGGCAAGGACCTGAGTTCAAATCCCAGTGTTGTAAGTAACAACAACAAAAATACCAGAAGAAGGGACTGGGCACATTAACTCACAAATTGTAAATGTTCTGTAATCAGTGCTCTGCTCTGAAGAAAGGGCAAGGTAGGTTGGACCAGAGATGGACATGGAAAATCATGGATGACTTTTCCAGTCAGAACGAGAAAGGAAAAGAAGGTGGTACCTGTGGCTCAGGTCTGAATGCCTCACTTCTTCTCAGGAGGTTGAGATCCAAGGGTTGGAAAGTTCAAAGCCAGCTCAGAGAGACAAATCCCAGAGGCTTTTATCTCCAGGTGACCAGGAAAGAGTCAGAAGTGGAGGCATGGTTAAGGGGTAGAGCGCCAGCCATGACAGAAAAAAACAAGCAGGAGTCTGAGGACTTGAGTTTAAGTCCTACTATGGGCAAAACAAAAGAACAGAAGGAAGGAAGGAAGGAAGGAACGAAGGAAGGAAGGAAGGAAGGAAGGACGGGTGGGTGGTAGGGAATTTACATAGTGGTACCAGTCGACTTTCTAGGTAGCAGTGATATAGAGAGCTCAGAGTAAAGGTACACACCTGTAATCTCAGCCTTTGTGGGTGGGTGGGGAGCTAAAGTAGGCTACACTATGTTAAAATAAATAAATAACTAGATACGTAGATAAAATAAAACTTTAAAGAAGATCAAAGCTGAGCACTGATAGCTCATGCTTGTCATCCTAGCTACTCAGGAGGCTGAGATCTGAGGATCATAGTTCAAAGCCAGCCCAGGCAGAAAAGTCCATGAGACGAATCAACCACCAGAAAGCCAGGAGTGGAGCTGTGGCTCAAAATGTTAGAGTGCTAGCCTTGAGCAGAATTGCTCAGAGACAGTGCTCTGGTCCTGATTTCAAGCCCCATAACCACCACCACACCACCACCAACAACAAAAAGAATTTCCTGCCCTGGCTGGCTTTGAACCGCACTCCTCAGATCTCAACTTTCTGAGTAGCTAGGATTCCAGGTGTGAGCCACAGCACCTCACAATTATATACATGTTTAGGGTTAATGGAGCCCCAGGCAGCATCCCCTTATCCACTCTCCTGTTTTAGGATTGGGAAACTGAGGCCCAGGGGGAGGAGATGACATGTCCTTAATCCACCTTTCTCCAGGATGGGCAAAGAGGAGGTGAGAGGAAGCTTGGTGAGGAGTTCTCAAGCTCTTCTCTCTCCCTTCCGTTTGCTCGTCCTGCTGGCTGGAAGCCCCCCTTTGAGATGTTTACAAGATGTTTGTTGATCTGTTTGCTGCTGCTGTGTGTAGAGCTATCCAGCCCCAACCGAAGGAGAAGAACCAAAGTCTCTATTATGCATTTTTGGACTAAAAATATTCTCTTATTCTGTTTGGAGATATTCTGAATATAGTTGTTTATTTAATTACGGGTCTGGCTCATTTTCCATTTATGGGCCTGACAAATATATGAAAAGTTTTAAAGCCTGTCATAATATTTGCTAGCAGGATTTAATTTTAAGGTGAACCCATAGGAGCTATTTTTCCTTTTGCTGAGTGTGTGTGACAGGGTCTCACCCTGTAGCCCAGGGTGCCCTCACTCACTGGATCCTCCTGCCTCGGCCTCCAAAGTGTGGGGCTCACAGACAAGTTTCTTTGTGTGTGTGTGTGCTGGTCCTACAGATTGAACTCAGGGCCTGGACTCTGTCCTTGAGCTTTTTTTTTGCCCAAAGCTAGCGCTCTACCACTTGAACCACAGCTCCACTTCTGGCTTTTTTTTGGCAATTCATTGGACATAAGAGCATCAGGGGCTTTCCTGCTGACTGGTTTTTGAACTGTGATCCTTTGGCTCTCAGTCTCCTAAGTATCTGGGATTACAGGCGTGAGCACCAATACCCCATAGCCTCTTACCTCTTATCGACCAAATGGGAATACTATAACAGGCTTGTTGTGTTTGTATGAATATTGGACATAATGTGGAGCCTGGGTGTATTCTCAGCAGTGTTACTGAGAATCCTATCAGGGCCAGGCTCCATGTGATGTTTTGAGTGAATCAGAGCAGCAAGGTCTTACAGTCTAGAAAGAGGAGACAGGAGAAGGAGGTAACAATGCTCAATAGGAAATGTACTCATTACCTTACTCATGTAACTGTAACCCCTCTGTATAGTATCTTTACAACAAAAAAATTGTAATTAAAAAAAGAAAGAGGAGACAGGCAGGTAGAAGGCAGAGCTCAGTGTTAAAGTCCCTAACACGCAAGGAGAGAAGCTGGCCCTGTAAAGAAGTAGTGGGGCCACAATCAGTACAGATGTCCTGGCGTAGGAATGAATGCTCTCAGTTACACAGGTGACAGTCCATGGACTTTTGGCTCCATTGTTTCTGGGCTTGATGGGAGGTAGAGCATCATGGGAGAAGGGTAAGGTGGTACAGAGCTGTCTTCATGGTGGCCAGGAAACAGAGAGGGGGTGGGGAGGAGGGAGAGTCCCTCTGAGTATACACCTAGTGTGCCACTTGCTCCTATGAGGCCCCACCTCTGGCAGGTTCCACCACCTCCCAATATTGCTGTAGATTACGAATCCATCATCAGCGGATGACTCCATCATTGAACGCAGAGCCCTTATGGTTCAATTGCTTCTCAGTGATTGGACCCATTAATCCTTCAATGCAGGAGTCTTTCTGGGCAAATGATAATACAGTGTCTGCAACAGAGTCCTTGTGAGTGAGAACAGGTGACAATGTTGGATAGAAGTGAGGGGTCCAGGTAGCTTTCTAAGATGTAGCCAGGGAGCCAAGGAGTCATCTATCCACCCACCCCATCCATCCATCCATCCATCCATCCATCCATCCATCCTTGGTCCATCCATCATTGGTCCATCAATCCACCCACTGTCATCAATCATCAATCCACCCATAAATCCATGCATCTTTATATTAAAAATCATTATTTATTGTTATTATAAAGGTGATGTAAGGAAGTATTACAATTACATGAGTCAGGTAATGAGTACATTTCCTTTGTACAGTGTCTTCCCTTCCCTCACTCTCTCCCAGTCCCTCTCTCCTGTCTCCACTCACTAGTTGTATTGTCCATATGTCTTTTCAAAAGTTATGTTTAAAAATTATATAAGTAGTTTTACAAAGAGGTGGCCATTCAACGAATCAGTTTATACATACAATGCATCTTGATCAATATCACCCTTTTCATCATTCCATCCATCATCCATCGTATTACCCTTCCTCCCTTCTTTCCTTTCTGCTTTCTTTTCATCCTTCCTTTCCTCCTTGCATCCATCTATAGAAGGATGTTCTCTCTCTCTCTCTCTTTTTCCAGTTATGGGGCTTGAACGGTGGGCCTGGGCATTGTCTTCAGCTCAAGGCAAGTGCTCTGCCTCCTGAGTAGCTAGGCTTACAGGCGTGAGCCACAGTGCCTGGCTGGATGTTCATTCTTATTTAACCATAGTATGTGTTCTTTGTGAAAAAAGAAAAAGTCAGGCATTTCAGAAACAGTCTAATATAGACAGTTACACTCCAGCCACCAGAATTAACTAGTGTCTAAGTTTGGCATCTTCATTTATGTGTGTAAATCTACACACATATTTAGATCATTACATACAGTGTACAATTTTCTTTTTCACTTAACCTTGTGTCTTAGACAACTTGGAACAAAGGGGCCGACCTCATTCTCTCAAAGCTTGACCTTCTTTTCCTCTCTTCTCCTTTCCTTTCCTTTCCTCTTTTAAGTGGACAGCCAGGAAGCCATCAGGGCAGCTAGACATTATATAGATCAGGCTGGCCTCCCACTTGCTATGTATCCCAGATGAGCCTTGGCAATCCTCCTAAATCAGCCTTCCAAATGCCGAGATTGCAGGCATGTACTACCACAACCCAGCTATGGCAGGGCTGTCCAGCTGTGACACTGTCAGCATGATGGGCCACATAATTCTCTAGTGGGGGCTTCCCTGTTGCACCCTGAGATGTTTGTAGCATCTCTGTGTTTTACCCACTAGATGGCACTGGCAACTCCACCCTGCTACCCCCCCACCCAACAACCTCAGCATGGTGCTAACAACCAAAAATGTGACATTGTGTCCTAGTTGATGCTGACTGTGGTCCATAATGCAAATGTACTTTATTTTGACCTGTCCCCAGTGTATGTAGGTTTTTGTTTTGGTGAGATGTTTTGTCACTGTGAAGGGAAGCCTGGCGTCAACAACTTACCAGGCAGAAAGGTTTTATTTTGGTTCATGATTTCATGAGCTGAGGGTCCAGCCATGGTTGCCTTGGCTCTGCTTTGGGCCTGAGGTCAGGCTCAATATCAGGTAGGAGGTGGGAGCTTCTGGAGGAGGAGGAGGAGGAGGCTGCTTCCCTCATGGCAGCCAGGAAGTAGAGTGAGGAAAGGACAGGAAGTCCCCTTTAAAGACACACCCTCCCCCATGACATGCTCCCTCCCACTGCATCCCTCCTTCTAAAGTTTCTAGAACCTGCCAAAATAGCACTGCCAGCTGGGGATGAAGCAATTGCCCATGAGCCTGAGGGGGACATTTTCTATCCCACCTCCTAACCTCCTGCCCTGCTCCCCTCCACAGGCCCCTCATGAAGATGGGCCCTCGCAGTCCATCTCCCAGGTGCCCCAAATCTTAGCCATTCTAACATCGTTCAGAAATCTAAATTCAAAGTCTCTTCAGAGACTCAAAACCATTAGCTTAAAAGGAAGTTCAAGATATCTCAAAGCACGATGGTGTAGAGCACACAGTCCTATTCCAAAGGGAGGAGTAACAGAATAGCAGAGAAGGATTGAATCAGAAAGAACATCATGTATGGACCAAAGGGAGGAAGGAAGGAAGGAAGGAAGGGAGGGAGGGAGGGAGGGAGGGAGGGAGGCGGGTGGGCGAGCGAGCGGGCAAATAGGAGTCTTGTGCATGCTAGGCAAGCGCATACCCAGCACCGATCCTGTGTTAATTGAGGTCTTGGGCTGAAAGTTTAGATGAGTTGGCAGCGCAAGGAGCTGTAAAGCAGGCATTTCAAACCCAGTCCCTCATGGTTGCCAGGCGCCTTGTATCTTATCTAAGTGGATCACCAAATGGAACCACGTAATATTGTCTCAGAAGAGAAGCCAGAAACTTGTGTGGACTTTGGACTCTTTATTGGAAACATCAAGTCCCTATTGTTTTTATTTTCTGCCAGTCCTGAGGCTTGAACTCAGCAGGGCCTGGCTGCTGTCCTTTAGCTTTTTTTGCTCAAGGCTGGTACTCTACCACTTGAGCCACAGCTCTACTTCCACCTTTTGGTGGTTAATTGGAGTTAAGTCTCTCAGACTTTTCTTTTGTAAACTGGCTTCAAACTGTGAGCCTCAGATCTCAGCCTCCTGAATAGCTAGGATTACAGGCATGAGCCACAGTGCTGGGCTTCAAGTACAGATTCCCATGAGCAGATGCAGAGGGACAAGGTAAACACGGTGCCACATTAGCCTAATTTATAACCTGACCTGCCTTCAGCTTTACCAGCTTCCCTGGTGTCTGCCCTGGGTCTCTGCAGGTCCCTGTCTTACCTCAGTTTCCTCACTTCTTCCAGGATCAACAGAAAACAAGTGCCAAGAACTAATGTGCAAGTGTGATGCGGAGTTTGCTCACTGCTTGGTGGGGACTAAGTACCACCTAAAATACCTCTTCTATCCCCAGTTCTTGTGTGAGGCAAACTCGCCCCCATGTGACTGAGCGTTGGGACCTGTCTAGTCTGCTGCACAAGGAAATAAAGCTGCTTTTCACTACCGAACAATGGCATCCAGTTTTCTGCAGAAGGCAATTGAGGCCAAGTGATAAAGCTGCAAGCCTGTGGTTGCGCGTGCGCTCTTTCTCTCTCTCTCCATCCTGGAACTCAAGGCTCAGCTTGTTTATTTACTGATTGATGAAGGTCAAAAGCCCTAGGTGTATTTTATAAGACCACAACTGGATTGGGTTTGGTATCAAGTTTTATTTCTTTCCTGTGTGTATGTGTGTGTGTGTACTGGGACTTGAATTCAGGGCCACTTGAACTCTAGCTGGCCTTTTTGAGCTGAAGGCTAACACTCTACCACTCCAATCATATCTCCACTTCTGGTTTTTTGTTGGTTAATTGGAGATAAGAGTCTCATAGACTTTTCTGCCCAGGCTTGCTTCCAATCAGAATTCTCAGCTGTCTCCTGAGTTGCTGGGATTACAGGTGTGAGCCACCAGTACTGACCTGCTATCATTGTTGAGGTCTAACTCACTGGAAGGCTTTCTATTCCAACTGTGAGCTGATGGCTAGAGGTGACATGTGAGTGGCCATCTTGCCCTGCGGTAGGCCACACTGGAAGCGAAGGGTCTTAAGGATGAACTAACTAGCTGGGAGCTGGAGATGCGGCTCAGAGGTAGAGAGCTTGACTGCAGAGCCTGGGGTTGCATCTCCAGCACTGCAAAAATGTCAGATGATCACGTAATACACCACCCTTGTTACATTCAAGTGAAGCAATTGTTACCTTAATGGAGCCTTTCCCCTTCCACTGCTTGTAACAGTTAAAATTTATTTCTTGGCACCCAGGTATGGTAGTGTATGCCTATAGTCCCAGTTACTGGGGGGGCTGAAGGGTGGCTTTAACGCAGGAGTTTGATGCCAACATGGATAATATAGCAAGACCTATTTATAAAGAGAAAAAGAAAAGTCTGGGGTTGAGGGTAAAGCTCCGTGAAGAGTCAGGCGATGGTGGCTCACGCCTGTAATCCCAGCTACTCAGGAGGCTGAGATCTGAGGATCGCGATCCAAAGCCAGCCAGGGCAGGAAAGTCCATGAGACTCATCTCCGATAAACCACTAGAAAACTGGAAGTGGTGCTGTGGCTCAAGCAGTAGAGCACTCGACTTGAGCTGAAGAGCTGAGGGACAGCACCCAGGCCCAGAGTTCAAGCCCCATGACCAACAAAACAAAACAAAACATGAAGAGTTCAGTGCTCACCACCCCCATCTCCCACAGCAAAAAGAAAAAAAAAAAGGAAAATACAGAGCAATATATAAAGCAGGAAAAAAAATCCCTAAACCACTATAATTCCACAATCCAGAATTATCCTGGTTAGCATTTGATTTTTCTATAGTTTCTTAAAGTGCAGTCAAAAGCTAGGCTTGGTAGCATACGCCTCTAATCCTAGCACTGAGGAGGCTGAGGCAGGAGGATCGAGAGTTGTAGTAGCCAGCCTGGGCTGCAGTTCAAGTTTGGAAAACAGCCTGGACTACAGTAGGGCAGTCTCAAAAAAAAAAAAAGAAGGGAAAAAAGCAAAAGTATATACAGTTGAGACTATGTTGTATAATGTGCATAAGGTTATTTTTTTCTGTCATGAAAAAACAATCTGGTGGGCGGGAGGAGTGAGGCAGGCAGAAGGCACCAGCCTGGAAGGAAGCCTTGAGTTCAGCAACCAAAAAAAGCAACGGAAACTTCCTCTTGAAGAGTTCTATGACTTAGTGGCAGAGCACCTGCCTACCCAGGGTCTGGGTTCCATCCTCAGCCCTCAGAAACACAGACCCGCCCCCACCCCCACCCAAGAGTTAAACGATATCATGTTATAGGTCACAGACTTGGACATGAGCGCTGGTTCCTGTTTTTGTCCATTGTTTGGATAAGGATGCTTGTAAATAATTTCTCCCAACTTCCCCAACCCCATGTTTTTGTTTTCAATTATGCTGGATTTGGAGAAAATGACATTTTCAGTGGGTATTTTCTGTAGACTCCTTTGGCGCCCCTAAGCCTGCCTTGATAAGGACCAGGGCTGCCCTTGAACCGCCCTGTGGAGGCGCCCAGACAGGAGCTCGTGCCCAGCTGTTTGCTCTGGGCGAGTCTCCTTTGTGGGTGTCACCTGTGGGGGAGGGAGGCAAGGTGTGGGCAGCTGGTGGAGCGGGGCTGATGGGCGCCCAGCCATCTTGTGGTCAGTCTGCACCGTGGCCAGCTACCACCTCTTGTGGGAAGGGAAGACTAACCACCCCAGGGCTAGGCCAGACTCGCACAAACACTGCCCGGGCCCAGGGAGCCTTTCCTGTCTCTTCTGGCAGGAGGAAGCACATTCTCGATTTTTCTATTGAGGCCACCTCTGGGTGGGGGCTGCACCTGGAGACTTGAGGCTGGCTTGCAGAGTTTATCATGTAACTCAGAAATTTCTATTTCCTAAACAGCTGCTCTTCACTGTACAGAGGTTTTATCTGTATAAAAAAAAATCTTTATTTTTATTTCAAGTATTTCCTTCAAACTTTCAGAAGCAAAGTTGGAGTGAAATGTTCACTCCGAGATAGTAAGGGTTAAAGAAAGGCTCCTGGAGGCGTGCACACACACTTTGGATACAAGCTTGTCTTCGAAGCCAACCTTGATGAGCTCATAGTTCATTTACCTGCTGTTTGCACAGGGGAGGAAATGGGAGGTCCCCCTGCCAGCCCCCCCCAAGTCACAATTACAGCAATTAGGCCTGCTGTTTATGCAGAATGGGACAATAAAGACTACACATTATACAGTGTGAGGTCAACTTAGAAAATGTTTTCTTGAACAAAGACTACCTTGGGTATATTTTACAGGTCAAATTCTTAAGAACAAAACAAAGCGCCCAAGCAATACTTGGAAGGTGCCTGCATCAGCTCAGCCTGAAATGCCTGACACCCCAGTAGGTGCCCCCCAACAGAAAGGGAGCAAACTTCCAATGATTGCAGAAAACAGCTACCACTCTTCATCTGAGTTCCTTAGCGGTGCGCAACAGAGAGGCCGACTGATTTCTGGGTTTTCCTATGTTGATATCTGTGCCTATGGCAAAATCTTATCCTTGCTTCCCTACACTTGGCTCACAGGGTGGGCCTTACCTAGAGCCTGGCCAGAGGCTCTGGGCACCTCTGTCCTCACGGAGTTTGGGGGGGGGGTACTGCTGATGGCCTGCGGTGTCCCTTGAAGACCCTGAGTCCTCCAGCCATCCTGGCAGGCTCCCCCCAGACCCCGAGAGAAAGGAGCTGGTGGGAGGGGCTGCTCTCCTGTCACCTCCATGGTCCTTGGGCACTGGGACATCGGTCTCTGCTGCCCCTGTGCCACAGGATGAGGGAGAGGACCTGGCTGAAGCCTTCGATCAGCAGCAGCACCTTGCTTTTACCAGGGGTAGAAGCAGGAAGTTCGCTCCCTCCGCCCCTTGTGGGCACAGGTGTCGGGTCGGGAAGATGGCCACGCCCCGCCACAACGCCAGTCACAACACTTGGGTTTCCAGCCGCCGCACTTCCTTGACCACGAGATCAATGTTAATGATCGGATTGAAATACAGGGCCCAGTAAAACAAACAGTTGCACACGAACTGTGGGATGAGGGGCCAGAACATGGCCACGAACAGCCCCTGCGTGGACACCTTCCAAAAATGGCTCCACATCCTCTGAGGTACTGTCCTGCAAAGACAAGAGAGCTGGTTGGGGCGGGGTGGGCCACGGCAGGGCTCTGACCCAGGCCTCGCAGGGTCTTCTGCTCCCAGGACCCAGCCCACGGGTGCTTCCCCGGGGGGCTTGGGGACTTGCTGGAAGTGTTATGGGCTTGGGGCAGCCCAGTTCCAGTGGCTCCTAGCTATGATCCTAGCTAGTCAGGAGGATCACGGTTTGAGCCTGGGCCAAAAAGGAGCAAGACCCCATCTCAACTACACACCTTCCTCCCCCTTCCCACCTGGCCACTGCTACCAGCGCTGCACTGCGCTATAAAACCGCTCTTACTTCAATTCACTTCTTGACCAGATCCTCCAGAAGGAGAACAGTTCCAGAACGGAGAGGAGCATGGCGTTGACGATGAGGAACCGCGAGGTCCAGTAGTGGACCTCCAGCCAGTCCCAGGCGAACTCCGCCATCAGCTGGTATGGCAGGAAGGAGTACTTGACGAGGAACTCCCTCCACTGCTTCCAGGTAGGCTCCCTCAGGTCCTTCCGGGGGTCACACAAAATGGGGCGTTAGCCAGCGCAGGAGCTTGGCATGTGCTGAGCACGTGCATGTGCGCACGCGTGGACGGACGGACGGACACACACACACACACACGGACCTAATTGTCTAAAAAGAACTTAGTCGACTTTGGTATGCACCATAATATGCAGTGGGGCAGTCAGCAAAGTTGGAGCTGGGAGGTTTGTTACATGATTTTGGAAACCCAGAAGTGACATCAAAATGAGCCTGGTGTGGAAAATGGGGTTGAGATGAATTTACACGAGCCAGTGTGTAAATTCCTGTCCCCATGGGGATGTAAGCACACTCTTTTGTTGTTGTTTTGCCAGTCCTGGGGCTTGAACTTGGGGCCTGGGCACTGTCCCTGAGCCTTTCTGTGCTCAAGGCTAGGGCTCTACCACTTGAGCCATAGCACTATTTCCAGCTTTTTCTGTGTATGTGGTACTAAGGAATGGAACCCAGGGCTTCATGCATGCTAGACAAGCATTCTACCACTGAGCCACCTTCCCGGCCCATCAGAGCATTCTTGAAATCCAACATCTTCTTACCTGTCGCAGAATGAGGACAGACACGGGGGAATTAAATGTAGCATGGATCTGGATCAGTAATTTAATGTGTTTGTGTTGTGCATGCATGTTTCCATAGAAACAGACCAGGCTCTAAAACAAACAGCATTTCTCTCTCTCTCTCTCTTTTTCTCTCTCTCTCGCCCTCTCTCTGTTTTTGTGCCAGTCCAGAGGCTTGAACTCTGGGCCTGGGCGGGGTCCCTGAGCTTCTTTGGCTCAAGGCTAGCATTTTACTACTTGAGTCACAGCGCCACTTCTGGCTTTTTCTGTGGACAGAAAAAGGAATAAAGCCAGTGCTTCACGCATGCGCGGCAACACTTTACCACTAAGCCACATTCCCAGTGTCAAAGAGCGTTACTCTCAAGTGATCGAATAGATATGAAAAAAATCACCCCCAGTAAAAGAGGGTCCCCTATTTGAGTCTCTGTTCCACTTCTGGCTTTTTTGTGTTGTGGTTAACTGGAGACAAGAGTCTCATGGGCTTTCCTGACCAGGCTGGCTTTGAATCTTAGATCTGAGCCTCCTGAGTAGCCAGGATTATAGGTGTGAACCACCGGTGCGCCTAGCAGCTCTAAAATAATCTGAGGGGGAAGGCTAACAAATAAGTGGCTAGGGTAGGGCACCACACACAACCCTGGAGTCAGGTGATATGACAATAGCATTGGTGACTGGGGTCATGGCTCATTGAGGGGGGGAGGCCTTTGGGATGGACCCTGCCCATAGCATTTAATCTCAGCATTAGCCCGTCTCACTCTGGCTGGTCTCCAGGGAGCACATGACCTAGGGCTCAGTGGAGCAAACAACAACTCTTTGGGAGTCATTATTAAACTAAATATGGTCAGGACCTTCATCAGCTTCCTTTATAGTAATAGCAACCATTTCTTTAAAAAATTAAATCCAGGGCTGGGAAGGTGGTTCAGTGGTAGAGCGTTTGCCTTGCATGCATGAGGCCCTGGGTTCAATTCCTCAGTACCACATAAACAAAAAGAAAAAAGCCAGAAATGGCGCTGTGGCTCAAGTGGTAGAGCTCTTTTGCTCAAGGCTAGTGCTCTACCACTTTGAGCCATAGCACCACTTCTGGTTTTCTTGTGGTTCATTAGAGATAAGTCTCTCAGGGACTTTTCTGCCTGGGCTGGATCTGAACTGTGATTCTCTGATCTCAGCCTCCTGAGTAGCTAGGAAGGCTGACTGGTTCTGTTTGTGCTGCCTGGCCTACCTACCAGAAGCTTGCTGAGAAGGTCCTCCCCAGAGCTGTCTTCTTGCAGAGGGCAGATGGTGTGGATGAAGGGCAGGAAGGTGTCTGTGTAGTCAAACAGGTACAGGTACAGCAGGCCGAGTCGCGGGGAGCTCTTGAGGGCGTAGAGCAGGAACAGGGACCGGCCGGGGTTCACTGCCTGCAGGGACAAGGCAGGCACAGGGCAGTCATGGTGGCTGATCGCACCTGAACACCTTCTCCAACAAGAAATAAATAGCAAGAAGAGGCAGGAAACCCACCAAGGCTGGGGATGTGGCTTAGTGGTAGAATGCCTGTTTAGCAAGTGTGAGGCCCTGAGTTCAAGCCCCAGCATATCAGAACTAATGTAAATATTGTAACTTTATGATGTAGCTTTCTTGTTACTTGGGAGTATCAAGAAAGTGTATATGAAGATGCTCAAGGTCACCTGTCCTTAGAGAAATGCACATCACCAATTGTGTGTGGGAAATGCTGGAAGGCAGGCTTTTTGCTAAAGGGCAGGAAGAAACTTGGGAGTGACAGATGTGTTCGCCATCTTGGTTGTGGCAATGGCTTCTCCCATATGTACATATGTACAGCTTTGTTCAAGACCAACATGGGCTACACAGCAAGACCCTACCTTAAAAAACAAAACAACGGCTGGGAAGGTGGCTCAGTGGTAGAGTGTTTGCCTTGCATGCATAAGGTCCTGGGTTCGATTCCTCAGCACCACATAAACAGAAAAAGCTGGAAGTGGTGATGTGGCTCAAGTGGTAGAGCGCTAGCCTTGAGCTGAAGAGCTGAGGGACAGCGCCCAAGTCCAGAGTTCAAGCCCTATGACTGACAAAAAAATAAAAAACAAAACAAAATAAACCTTGAACATTTTTTTTTTGTGTGTGTGTGTATGTGCTTGCTGGTCCTGGGGCTGAACTCAGGGCCTGGCATTGTTCCTGAGTTTTTTGCTCAAGGATAGCACTTGAGACACAGTCCCATTTTTGCCTTGTTGGTGGTTCACTGGAGATGAGAGTCTCACGGGCTTTCCTACCTGGGCTGGTTTTGAACCCTGATCCTCACCTCTCACCCTCCTGAGTAGATGGGATTACAGGCGTGAGCCATTGTTGCCCAGCAAACTTAAAATATCTTTGACACACAAGAAGGAAACCCATTGGAGACTAATAAGGTGATATCAAATGTAGCAGGTATGTACTTTATTATTATTCTGGGGTGCTTGGGGATGGAACCTAGGGTCCTGCACATATTAGACAGTTGCAATCATCCCTCTGAGCTATAAAAGCTTTTCACAATCCTTCAAGAAAAATAAGATGTATACACTGCTTACGAACTGCAAGCTGGTGGGAAGCCACGAACCATGTCATCACTAAGATGTGGTTTGTGTACCGGTGGGGTGGCGCGGCTATCACTGAGGAACCCAGGTCCTGAAATAAAGCCTGACTGAGATCAGCTAGACTGTGGCGGGCACCAGGGAGGAGGCAGAGCAGCCCCGTTACACCCCATCAGCTCTGCTGTCGGCAGGCGCCGGTGGGAGCCAAGCGATCAGGTCCTGCCAGCCCCATCAGATAGGGAGGAAAAGCACTGTGAGAAAGGCAGCAAGGGAGAGGCCCTTCCCGGCACTCAGAAGGAATGGCACAGGCCACTGGGAGTGGGGAATGTTTCAGCTAACTGCCAAACACCCACCCCCAGGGCGGGGCTGGGCAGTGTGGAGAAGGACTGAGTATAAGATCCTTCTCCATGATAGGATCAGAATTAAATTCCCATTTGCTCTGGCTAATATTGAGACAACTTAAGTACTCCCCTCCCCTCCCCCTCCTCTCTAGTCCTGGGACTTGAACTCAGGGCCTAGGCACTGTCTCTGAGCTTCTTTTTTGCTCAAGCCTAGTACTCTACCACTTGAGCCACAGCACCACTTCCAGCTTGTTCTGTTTATGTGGTACTGAGGAATTGAGCCCAGGGCTTCATGCATGCTAGGCAAGCACTCTATCACTAAGACGCGTTCCCAGCCCATTCTCTTTTTAAAGGTAGGGTTTTGTTATGTAGCCTAGATTGGCCTAGAACTTTTTTTTTTTGGGGGGTCTGGTCGTGGGGACTGAACTCTGGGTCTGGGCGCTGTCCCTCAGCTCTTCAGCTCAAGGCTAGCGCTCTACCACTTGAGCCACAGTACCACTTCCGGCTTTTTTCTTTTTGCTTATGTGGTGCTGAGGAATCAAACCCAGGACCTCAGGCATGCAAGGCAAGCGCTCTACTGCTGAGCCACCTTCCCAGCCCCTAGAACTTTTGATCCTCCTGCTCTGCTTCCTGAGTGCTGGGACTACAAGCTTGCTCCATTATACTTTTAAAGTATTCCCAATTGAGGGTCACTGCTGGATGAGAGATTTGAAAATGATCTACCAGATATTAAAAGCCATAGTGGGTCTACATACAGGAGCCACAGAAAGTTCAGCATTTGATCAGACTCTATCAAACCAATAACTTGTGACAAAAGAGAAGAAGAGATTAAAACAAACAGTGATACAAAACACATAAACATACAAACTTTCTGCTTCAGAAACTCTAGATCTTTATCCTGAGTGCCTGGATGACATGTGCACCTGCACAGCTAACTCTGATAGTGAAAACGGTGCCCATCAATGGGGAAATGCACACAGGGCCCCTACGTATGTGAAGGATTATTACGAAAGAGCCCCAGAGGTGAAGCTTCCCGCAGGGCAAGCTCAGCTCACGCCTCTTACGCTGAGGTTAGAGCAGGTCATACAACGTCCCACAGCCGCTGTAGGAGCACAGGGGTGCCCAGCACCCAGTGCAGCACGGTGGGCCCTGGAGAGGGAGAGCTATTGGGGCGGGGGCAGGCCTTTAATCAGGCTAGGGGCTTTTCCTTTTTTTTGCCAGTCTAGGGCTTGAACTCAGGGCCTGGGCACTGTCCCAGAGCTTTTTGTGCTCAAAGCTAGCACTTTACCACTTGAGCCACAGAACCACTTCCTGGGGGCTTTTTTTTCTTCTGCTAAGCAAAGAGCATGCAGGTGATTGCTATCATTCTCTATATTCTTTTCTTGTATGTGTGCTAGTCCTGGAGCTTGAATTCAGGGCCTGGGCGCTGTCCCTAAGCTCAAGGCTGGTGCTCTCCCACTTGAGCCACAGCTCCACTTCCTATTTGTCTGGTAGTTAATTGGAAATAAGAGTTTCTTGGACTTTCCTGCCTAGGCTGGCTTTGAACTGAGAGCCACAGATCTCAGCCTCCTGAGTAGCTGGAATCACAGGCTCACGCCTGTAATGGAGTACCCAGCTACATTACACACTCCATTTTTGAAAAGGAAGAACTCACCTTATATTCCCAGAGGTTCTGGGGGGGCTTCACGCCGAGGGCTTTCACACGCTCTAGCTCCGTGAGGATGACTCTTCTGTGGCTGCTGTTTTCTATGGTGTAAGGTGCTTGGGAAAATTCTTCCTCTGTCAAAGTTAAAAGCAATCTGTGGAGGGGTGAAGGGATATTTTTTTGAGATCGGATACTGACTGGAAGCATCTTTTCCACACTGAGATCCATTTCCCCGGAGTAGGCTCTGTAGGGGTAAGGTGAGATCTAAGCACATGACTATCTACAATCCCTCTATCAATCGCAGCTGAGCTATTGGATAGCTCTGCAGAGTAGTGGCGTATGGACACTTTGTAACCATGGCCCAAAGCACACCAGGGCATTCTGTTCCTAAGCCATTCATCTCTCAGTGACAGACTCTGATTCTCACATACTCTTCTATTTTACAAGTGCGGGCATAGAGCCAAGCAATAGTGGAAAGTCCAGGAGACTCCATCCCCAATTAACAAGGAAAAGGCTGGGCTGGAGATGTGGCTCAAGCAGTACAACACCAGCCCTGAGCATGCATGCCGAGCAAGCAAATGCCCTGGGTTCAAATCTCACTACAGGAAGAGAAAGAGGAGGGAAGGAAACACAGAGTTAACCAATGACCCAGCCATTCTACTCTAATAAAAGAGTACTGAAAATAGAAGCCTATCAAAAACTGTACTCTGAGATCAGCAGAGCATTATTTACAATAGCAAAGGAATGGAGCTGATCAAGACAGAGCAGATCTGGCTGGTCTCTATAATGTCATTAGGACAAATGAAACACTGACAGGTGCTCCAGCATGGCTGAAACCAGACCCAGAGACCATGTGGTGCAGGCCTAGCCTTTTTTGAGAGAGAGGAAGAGGGAGAGCCAAGGGCTCTCTGCCAGGGCTGCTCACAGCAGGGTGACAAGTTTTTCCCATAGGTAAGAAGCATCTTTCTGGGTTGTGTGTTTCTCCTCACCTTCCATTTACTCTTTCAGATAGAAACCTGTCTCTATAGAGGGAGGCCCACGGGCCCAGCTGCTCCAGCCACAGGACAACCTCTTCCGCCGTCCACTTGGCCACGGCCTTGTGGACCAGAAGGTCATGTTCGGACTCTCTGCTGCTCCAGTGGTACACCAGCAGGACTACCTGGAAGATGGACGTGAGGGTGGGTTGGGGTGGAAAGAGGGCCAATGGCGTCCCTGACCCCATCCACAAGGCTTGGAAAAAACACCTGGATTTCTGTAGCACTGCAGTAGTGGGCTCAGAAGATTCTATCTCAAGCAGATGTGTCTCCTCCCTGTTTTCCCTTCCCTCCCCCGCCACATGCTGGGGCCAAGATGGCGTCCAAATCATGCAGAGGACAGGATGGAGCAGGACAGAGCTAACATCTCTGGGCGGTGATTATTTTCCGTGGTCAGCATGCCTGTTGATCTCAATGTGCACGAGTTACTTACTGCCACACCAGTTAATGCAGTGAGCACCCCGGAGAAGAAGCCCCCTCCTCTCTGCTGGTTCATGCGGCCTGTGTTGGGAGCCGAAGGCAGCTGGTCATTCCCGAGCCTCTGAAAAGCCGCGAGACTTTGGATGATGTCACTGTTGTGCTGGATGTCTTCACGCCTCATCCTAATGGCATCTGGAAACAGCTTCTCAATGGCATCCCTATGGGGAAGGCAGGAAAGCAAGATCAGTCAGACTGTCTGCCGGACTAAGTAGAATGTGCCCCGGTCCCAATAATCCAACGTCAGCATGAGTAACAGGCAGGTTGGAAAAGAACACTTGCCAGGGCTTTGCTTTATGGGAAAAGCAAATCATTAGTAACTTATATACACGTGCTCAGGGAAAGTGACAGCTAAATGATTTAGAATACAATAATTTTCGTTTTTTCTTTTAGTGCTGGTCCTGTGGCTTGAACTCAGGGCCTGGGTGACGTCCCTGAGCTTCTTTTGCAGTGAGCCACAGCTTCACTTCTGGCTTTTTTTTTTTTTTTTTTGGTTAGTTTAGTGGAGATAAGAGTCTCATAGACTTTCCTAGCTGGCTTTGAACTGTGATCCTCAGACCTTGGCCTCCTGAGTAGCTAGGATCACTCTGTCCCTTCACGTAGAATGAAGACCAAGGATGGCAGTCCCTTGGGAGGGCAAGTGGCCTCAGCGCCCACCCCCACCCCCACACGGGCACTCCCAGCATGCCCAGCATTACCTGAGGAGAATGTTGACTTTGGGGTAGCCTTCCCACTTTTCTCTGCATTCCGGACACTCTGTTTTCTTTGAGGACACCCACCATAAAGCCAGGCAGTGGCGGCAGAAGCTGTGCCCACAGTTCAGGGTGGTGGGGTTCACCAGGATGTCGTAGCAGCAGTGGCAGGAAAACTCACTGACCGAGATCTGTGGGCGGGGGCTGTGGGTAGCAGCATCCCTTTCCGGGCCTGTCCTGAGCCCATCCGTTTCCTCGGCCTCCTCCATCGCTTAGCAAGTTCCAGGACCCCGAGACATAGAAAATTCCAGACTCAGGAAACTCCGTCAAGCATCAGCCCATCTAGGGGAAAAAAAGAATCAATGAAAGAGGATAAATAGATGTTGGATCTCCTGGCTATTCAGCTAGTTGAGCTCTGAGGATAGCAGTTCAAAGCCAGCCTGGACAGAAAAGTCTGGGAGACTATCTTCAATTAACTAGCTTCAATTCCAGAAGTGGAGCTGTGGCTTAAAAAAACAAAAAACAAAACAGTTAAGGGGCTGGCTTTGTTTTTGTTGTTTTTCTTTGTTGGTTGTGAGGTCTGAACTCTGGGTCTGGGCACTGTCCCTCAGTTCTTCAGCTCAAGGCTAGCACTCTACCACTTGAGCCATAGCACCACTTCTGGCCTTTTCTGCTTATGTGGTACTGAGGAATCGAACCCAGGGCCTTATGAATGCAAGGCAAGCACTCTACCACTGAGCCACCTTCCCAGCCCAAGGGGCTGGCTTTGAACTGATTTTTTTTTTTGTCAGTCGTGAGGCTTGAACTTTGGGCTTGGGTGCTGTCCTTGTGCCCTTTAGCTCAAGGTGAGCATTCTACCATTTGAGCCACAAGGCCACTTCCGGTTTTCCAGTGGTTTATTGGAGATAAGAGTCTCATGACTTTCCTGCCTGGGCTGGCTTTGAATCGTGATCCTCAGATCTCAGCCTCCTGAGTAGCTAGGATTACAGGCTTTGAACTGATTTTGAACTGATATAATTGTAAAAGATCTTCACAGCTCAAACTTTCTGAAGAAAGAAATCAAAGAGGACACCAAGAAATGTAAAGACTTTCCATGTTCATGGATAGGTAGAATCAATATTGTGAAAATGACCAGATTGCCAAAATGATATACAAATTTAATGCAATCACTATCAAAATCCCAATAACATTCTTTACTGAGACAGAGAAAACCACCCAAAAATTCAACAACAACAACATACAAAGGGCATAGAATAGCCAAAGCAATTCTAGGCCAAAAAAAAAAAAATGCAAGTGGTATCACAATACCAGATTTTAAACTCTACTACAGAGCCATAATAACAGAAACAGCTTGGTACTGGCACAAAAATAGACCCAAAGAGCAATGGAACAGATTAAATGACTCAGAAATAAAAGCAAACACTTATAGTCATCTGATAATTGTCCAAGGAGCCAAAGACATACAGTAGAAAAAACATAGCATCTTCAACAACTGGTGTTATGAAATCGGGTAGCCACATGCAGAAAACTAAAAGTGGATCCCTGCTTGTCACCATGCACCAATATCAATTCAAAGTGGTTCAAAGATCTTAACATCAGACCCAAAATTGAAAGTACTGCGTGACAGAGTAGGAGAGACATGAGAACTTATAGGTAGGTACAAGTAGGAACTTTCTGAACAGAGTCCTAGGAGCACAGCAGATAGGAGAGACTCGACAAATGGGACTACATTAAAACAAAAAGTTTAAGCCGGGCGCTGGTGGCTCACGCCTGTAATCCCAGCTACTCAGGAGGCTGAGATCTGAGGATCGCGGTTCAAAGCCAGCCCGGGCAGGAAAAACTGTGAGACTCCTATCTCCAATAAACCACCAGAAAACCAGAAGTGGCGCTGTAGCTCAAGTGGTAGAGCGCTCGCCTTGAGCTGAAGAGCTGAGGGACAGCGCCCAGGCCCAGAGTTCAAGCCCCACAACCGACAAAAAAATAAATAAATAAATAAAACAAAAAGTTTCTGCACAGCTAAGGACATAGTTACTAAACTAGAAAGACAGCCAACCAATTGGGAAAAGATCTTTACCAGCAATATATCAGACATAGGTCTAATATCCAATATATACAAAGTGCTCAAGAAACTAACCCTTTCTAAACTTAGCACACCAATCATTAAATAGGTAAGGGAGCTAAGGAGAGACTTCTCAGAAGAAGAGGTTAAGAATGATAAAAACACATAAGGAAATGCTCATCATCTCTGCCATAAAGGAAATGCAAATCAAAACAACCCTGAAATTCCATCTCACCCCAGTTACATTGGTCAACATTTTGAATTTGAACAACAAATGCTGGTGAGGATGTGAGGGAAAGGAACCCTACTGCACTGTTGGTGAGTATGTGAACTAGTACAACCACTCTGGAAAGCAGTCTGGAGATTCCTCAAAAAATTAAACATGGACCTTCCCTATGACCCAGCCATACCAGTAGGCATCTACTCTGAGCATCGTGAGCCAGGATATGACAAGGACACCTGCACGTCCATGTTCATTGCTGCACTATTCACAATAGCCAAGACATGGAAACAACCCAGATGCCCCACCATAGATGAGTGGATCCAAAAAGTGTGGTACCTATATACAATGGAATTTCACACAGCTATTAGAAAGAATAAAATGTCATTTGCAGGGAAATGGATGGAACTAGAACATGTTAAGCGAGGTAAGCCAAGATTAGAGAAACAAATGGCACATGTTCTCTCAGATATGTGGAAGTTAGATCTAAGACACAATGAGATATAACGACTTACACAGGATTTTAGGTTCTCACATACAGTGAGATCAAAAGAGGGTAGTCATAGGAGAGAATCACAAAGGTGCAATACCCAAGCGCCTCTTCATATGTAAACAAAATAACACACATTCTGAAATGAACTCCAGAGCTATGGAAACAAAGGACATTTTTCTTTTTTCTTTTTCTGATGATTCTGTATTCTTTACTTTATATATGATGTATTCACATGCATATCTGTGGGAAGAGTGGGGAGGGCACAGAATCAGAAGAAAAAGGATGAAAAAGTGCAGCAGTAGAGTGCACTAGATGTTGATGAAAGTGAACTATGCAACTCGTGGATGGAGATGGAGGGAGGGAAAGGGAGAGAGTGAGGGACCATCTGACACTGTTCAAAGGGAAATGTACGTATTACCTGACACATGTAAATGTAACCCAGCTGTCTATTACCTCTATAATAACAATCCAGTAAATAAAAGATACATGAGGGTTTAATCTTACTGTATGCATTCATAAAAGGAAATGGTTTTCTTTGGATTATTTTTTTTTAAGACATATCTGCCAAGGTTCAATACTTGAAAAATCTCTGAAAGAGAAAGGCTGGCACTGGCACATTTCCCAATACACTATGTAACTGAAGAAGAGGATGAGAGGGTCTCCCTGGGAAGTGAGGTTGTCTAGACATGGAGCTGGTCTATGGACTTATCTGGAAGGCTGCTTTGTGGGAAGTCATGGTACTATGCTTACCTTACCTGTCTATTGCTTTTTTTTTTTTTCTCTCCTGTGTGTGGTGTTGAGGTTAGAATCTGGGGCTGTATGTATGTTAGGCAAGCATTGTACCACTGTGCTTCCTCTTTAACTTTTTTTTTTTGTCCTCTTGGTGGTGATATTGGGGTTTCAATTCAAAACCCTCTGCTTCTTATACAAGCATGCCCCTAACCTGTTTGTTTTTTTAGTTACCCATTAGGAAAGTCACACCATTTAGGATGTTTTTTTGTTAAGCTTATCAAATAATGCACCAATTCTGAGCTAAAGTTAAGACCTTTTATACCTTAGCCTATAAAGATCTCATTCTGTGATGCTGGTTAATGCTTTAGAAATTGTAAGCTTGAAACTGTATCAGCAGTATATGATTATGGCTCTCCATTCAACATACAGTTGGGTGTGGTAGTGCATACCTTCAATCTTAGCACCTGGGAAGCTGAGGCATGAGGATTTCATGCTTGAGGGCAGGCCAAGCTACAAAGATCCTGTCTCAAAGAACAAACACACCTCTGCTGCTGCCAACATTCCCTATTCCCCCTGCCCCATTCACCATGCAGCCTACTTTGGCAAAATGGTTCGCTCCAACGTACTACGTCCTCATGGCAGTGTGTGTTGAAGGCAGTAGAGATGATAATACAAATGTCGAAAAATCCAGACATACTTTTGACTGTCCTTGAAGAAGGGACAATTTTAAACATTTAAACGAAATCGATCTTTTCTACCATATCGACCCAAAATGACGCCAAGCATAAAAGAAAGGACAGGTCAATTTTATGTTGTTTACGAAAAGGAGAATCTGGCCAATCATGGCGTAGCTTAACACAAGAAAGGGCAAAGTTTAATTGGCTCGGTGAGGATTTCAATCACTAATGAGGCAGAGAAGATGACTCAGATGAAGATAGTCTACTTTTGATGGTTTCTCTGAGATGATGAACCACATGGGTGGGTGGTGATGAAGATGTGGATCTACCTTTTTTTTTTTTTGCTGTTGTTTTTTAAGGCTTCACTAAGAGTTTGTCAATGAACTATTTTTTTTGGGGGGGGCCTGAACTCTAGGCCTGGGTGCTGTCCCTCAGCTCTTCAGCTCAAGGCTAGAGCTCTACCACTTGATCCACAGCGCCACTTCCAGCTTTTTTCTTTTTTTCTTTTTTTTTGTTTATGTGGTGCTGAGGAATGGAACCCAGGGCTTCAGGCATGCAAGGCAAGCGCTCTACCACTGAGCCACCTTCCCAGCTCAATGAACTATTTGTAAGAGAAACTTTTAACTTGGCCATGGTAATATTTCTTTGTGGATAAGCATTTTCCAGATTTCACAAAGCTGTCAAAGATCCCAGGCAGCCGGGTGCTGGTGGCTCACGCCTGTAATTCTAGCTACTCAGGAGGCTGAGATCTGAGGATCGCGGTTCAAAGCCAGCCCGGGCAGGAGAGACCGTGAGACTCCTATCTCCAATAAACCACCAGAAAACCAGAAGTGGCGCTGTAGCTCAAGTGGTAGAGCGCTCTCCTTGAGCTGAAGAACTGAGGGACAGCGCCCAGGCCCAGAGTTCAAGCCCCACGATTGAAAAAAAAAAAAAAAAAAAAAGATCCCAGGCAAGTAACACAGCAGTTATGATAAATAAAAACCTTTCACCTCAGTCTTCTTTACTCACAGTTTAGCTACTGACATGACAGGCAGTTCCCAATTTATGGAAAGATGACTAAACTTTAAATTTGGATTCAAAAGTGACTGAGACAAATAGGCTGACCTTAAACTGAAAACCTGGAATTCCTCTGGTGTAGCCTTCAGGACTGTTCCACTTAAG